GTTATTGGTGAGAGTTACAGTGTATTCTCCTATATTTACATTATGAATTGTTTGACAATGTATCAGGTGAGTCAATGAAAGTTTCTTGTTCCTGGTGATGGAAACGCATCTTCTTTTTTGAAACATTTTATTTATAACAACTGAGATATAGTGATTAAGGTGCCAGATCAAGAGTGAGAAACCTGAGTTCTTGTCATGACTTCAGCACAGAATCAAGCTTGGACCAGTCACTCTCCCTCAGCCATAGAAAGAAAGCAAAGATGCACCATTTTCAAAGATGTGGCCTAGATTACTACATAGATTTTTTTAGATATTCTCCAGGAATCTGGCCTGATTTGAAGGAGGAAGAAAGAAAAACAAGAGTCCATTGACATCATGATTTCTTTAGTCCAAGCATGATATGTAAAATATATTTCAATCCAATTGAAATTAAAGATTTTTATAGAAGGATATCTTCCATATTACAGGAAGCAAACATTCTGTTGCATTGTGTATTGCATCATTCATCTATAGTAGTGGTAGCTAACCTTTTTGGGCTCAGGTGCCAAAAATTGGGTGTGCGCAATCGTGTGCCAGCACCCAGAAGGCAATGTGTGCAGGCCCCCCATACCCCCTGCATGCACACCAGACGCCCGACAATCAGCTGGCGGGTGGGTGGCGCGTGCACATGCACAGTGGGGCTCTCCCAGGAGACCTCTCTCTCCCAGGAGACCTTTCTATTTATTTCTGAATTTAAATGCAAAGGAGTTCAGGAGGTTCACCATTTGTATGTTCAGTTAACTAAGTCAACATTCTCATTCTAAATGTTTCTCCTTAATTTGTACACTACTGTCATTCTACAATAGTAATAATAAATTCCCAAATTCCAGAAATAAAAGTTTAGACTTAAACATGCTTACATTTTTTTTAAAAAAACACCAGCTATTGCTGCCAAATTTTATTTCTATAGTTTATGAAGCATCTGTTTTTCATGCTTACCCTTGCATGTCAAACACACCAGTATAATTCAAAATCATTAAACATTTTTGTCAGTTTAGGGGGGGGCTTCCGGTTTGAGCTTCTTCGGCGACAGACCGAAATCTGCGATTGTGCGCAGTTTCGATCTGTACTCACCACTGGAGTGCCCTGAGCCGGCTGATTTTGGGGCGAAACCACCCCGTACAAGTGGTGAAGAGGGGGGGAGACTGCCAGCAGGGTCGAGGAGAGTCACATCTCTCCTCCCCAGCTGGCCATTACTCCCTTTCCCAAAGGCGGTTGCAGCGGTGGTCAGAAATGGCCACCTCAAAGAAGAACTCGACCGGAAAAGAATATGCAGGAGGAAGATAAGAGAAAGTTTTGGCTGACCGGGTCGAACTGAAAAAGCAACAATATAAGGTACCCTGGAATTTGAATTATAAAGAACAACATTGTTCCCAAAGAAGACTTTGAAGCGGCGAATGAGAGAGGGAAGGGAAAGGATTTGGTTTTTTTCTTTTCTTCCCTATATTGACAACTAAGAGATTTAAGCAAGAAACTGACAAAAATCCACTTTGACATTAACAGGTATTTAAGCTGAAAATAAAATGTCAAAGGGATAATAAAGATTTCTGGATCCTCAAAAACTTTTAAAAGAAGGGAAAAAACAAAAGGGTGGGATCTGGAAAAATGGAGGAGACCACCTGGAAGTGAAAGGAATTAACAGTGAAACTTTAACAAGATTCCCAAAAGATACATTTTAACTGAAACTTTGTAACAAGATAAGAGAACCCCAGGAAGAGAAAGTGGAAAAAAGAAGCAAGAAGAAACAGCTTTGGATTATTTGGATTACTTGGTGGTTTTTGGATTTTTGGCTATCGAATCTAAAGGACTAAAATTCATTGGGTGGTTGTTTAAAAGTTTTTAAAATAGTATCACTCTTGGAAGAATTGAGAATGGAACTTAAAAAACAAAGAAGATGCACAAGAAGGAAGAGGTTCTTTCGGCTTCGTATTTCAATTTTTAGAAATGGAGATCCTGAACTATAAGAAACAACAAGAAATGCCTGTAGAACAAGAAGAAGAAAGAAGAAACCATCTTCAATGACCAAGTTTTTCTATGTGGGGAAAAGAAAGGAAAGGGGGGAAAGAGAGTGAAAAATTTAAGATTTGAAAAAACAACCCCCAAAAAGAATAGTTTGAAAAGTAATTACAACATTAAGAAGAAACAGAAGAAAGGATTACAGAAGAGAGAATCAGAATTAGAGAGAGAAGGGGTCAAAAAGGAAAGGGAGAAGAAGAGTGGGAAGAGGGAAAGGAAAAGAAATTATAAAGGATATAGAGAAACAGGAAAAACATACAAGGATTAAGGGTATAAGTCTATTTAGAAGACACAGAGATAATGGGTGAAAACTTAATTGAAAGGGGGATTCTGCAAGGGTACATAAGATAGTATTGTTATATTAGAAATAGAAATGAACTTTGAAAATATGAAACAAGTGTGATTAAAATGATAGATAAAATACTCATTGTAATGGAATGGAATGTTTAATAAATAAATGAAATAAACAGAATGAGAGAATGAAATTAGGAAAGGAGGGGAACATTTTAATTATTATAAATGTGTTATAAAAATTTAAGTGAAGAGGAATATGAAAGAAACATGAAAAAATTATGGAAATATTATAAGTGTTCCTAGAAGTATGATACCCTATTGAAAAGGAATGTTAAAGATGTCAAAGATTATAACTAACATTAATGATAGAGCTGAATTGGAATAGAATAAGTATTTTATTTATTATTGTTATATATATATATTTTCTCTTTAAGAACTTAGTGTGTATTTTAAGAATGTACCAAGCAGAATTCAACTGGAAGTTATGTGTTCTATTGAATGTTATAATTGTAAAGGCATAAATTGAAGTTTAAATAAGAGTTGAATGGATAAAAATTAAAAGATACAAAGGTGTCATACTCCAATTAGTAACTACAGGGAAAAATTTTGTTTAATGAGAAAAGAAAATATGAAATTGAAACAGGACAGACAAAAGTATAAATACAATGACTAGAAAGATATTGAAACTTAGAAATATATATATACACTGCTCAAAAAAATAAAGGGAACACTTAAACAACACAATGTAACTCCAAGTCAATCACACTTCTGTGAAAATCAAACTGTCCACAGGTAGCAACACTTATTGACAATCAATTTCACATGCTGTTGTGCAAATGGAATAGACAACAGGTGGAAAGCATAGGCAGTTAGCAAGACATCCCCAATAAAGGAGTGGTTCTGCAGGTGGTGACCACAGACCAATTCTCAGTTCCTATGCTTTCTGGCTGATGGTTTGGTCACTTTTGAATGCTGGCGGTGCTTTCACTCTAGTGGTAGCATGAGACGGAGTCTACAACCCACACAAGTGGCTCAGGTCGTGCAGCTCATCCAGGATGGCACATCAATGCGAGCTGTGGCAATAAGGTTTGCTGTCTCTGTCGGCGTAGTGTCCAGAGCATGGAGGCGCTACCAGGAGACAGCCCAGTACATCAGGAGATGTGGAGGAGGCCATAGGAGGGCAACAACCCAGCATCAGGACCACTACCTCCACTTTTGTGCAAGGAGGAATAGGAGGAACACTGCCAGAGCCCTGCAAAATGGCCTCCAGCGGGCCACAAATGTGCATGTGGCTGCTCAAACAGTCAGAAACAGACTCCATGAGGATGGTGTAAGGGCCTGATGTCCACAGGTGGGGGTTGTGCTTACAGCCCAATGACGTGCAGGACATTTGGCATTTGCCAGAGAACACCAAGATTAGCAAATTCTCCACTGGTGCCCTGTGCTCTTCACAGATGAAAGCAGGTTCACACTGAGCACGTGACAGACGTGACAGGGTCTGAAGATGCCGTGGAGAACGTTCTGCTGCCTGCAACATCCTCCAGCATGACCGGTTTGGCAGTGGGGCAGTAATGGTGTGGGGTGGCATTTCTTTAGGGGGCCGCACAGCCCTCCATGTGCTCGTCAGAGGTAACCTGACTGCCATTAGGTACCGAGATGAGAGCCTCAGACCCCTTGTGAGACCATATGCTGGTGCGGTTGGCCCTGGGTTCCTCCTAATGCAAGACAATGCAAGACCTCATGTGGCTGGAGTGTGTCAGCAGTTCCTGCAAGACGAAGGCATTGATGCTATGGACTGGCCCACCTGTTCCCCAGACCTGAATCCAATTGAGCACATCTGGGACATCATGTCTCGCTCCATCCCACCAATGCCACGTTGCACCACAGACTGTCCAGGAGTTGGGGGATGCTTTAGTCCAGGTGTGGGAGGAGACCCCTCAGGACACCATCCGCCACCTCATCAGGAGCATGCCCAGGCATTGTAGGGAGGTCATACAGGCACGTGGAGGCCACACACACTACTGAGCCTCATTTTGACTTGTTTTAAGGACATTACATCAAAGTTGGATCAGCCTGTAGTGTTTTTTTCCACTTTAATTTTGAGTGTAACTCCAAATCCAGACCTCCATGGGTTGCTCAATATGATTTCCATTGATAATTTTTGTGTGATTTTGTTGTCAGCACATTCAACTATGTAATGAACAAAGTATTTAATAAGAATATTTCATTCATTCAGATCCAGGATGTCTTATTTTTGTGTTCCCTTTATTTTTTTGAGCAGTGTATATATATAATTGAATTTAGAAAGGAATGAGATAATTAAAAGTAAGATTGAGAAAACTAAGGGAAGGGAAAAATTATTGAGAAAATGTTAAAATAGTAATAAGATATGGAATAGAACACAAAGATGAATATGAAATTGAATTTGTGTCTGTATAGAGAAGTGATAACCCGGGACCATGCTATTCTCAAAAAAAGAAATTTTGCTTGTATTATGTTTTTTGAAAACCCAAATAAAATTTTTATAATAAAAAAAAAACATTTCTGTCAGTTTATCAATGTTTTTGTTCATGTAACAAATAATAATAATGTCTTTAAGGAAGTACAAACAATTTCTCAGTGAAGTCTTCTTTGTATTGTTTCTTCTACAGAATCCAGTCTGGTTCCTATCTCAGCACTGGTTGGTTCACCTTAATTCTAGCGATGGATGCCTGCTACAGAATACATGTCTACGGAATGATAAATGACACCTACTGCAAGTAAGATCACAGCACATTATTTTTGATGCGTCCACAGATCTAATGCCCTGTCAAAATTTCATGATTCATTTGAATATCATAAACCTGACAAATATATTAGGCAGCCGCCGCCTAGCAGAACTATATTGGCATGGCACTTTATTGACAGTGTATTTAGATCCTGTATGATATACTGTATTGATTAAATAAAAGTATTTATAAAAATGTAATGACCGATGTTACAAAGGCCTTTTAACATCAAAGCACTTTCTGCCAAGTTGGACTGAACTGGAAAAATAGGAAGGCGTATTTGCTTTCCACAGTTTTTGTACAGTTGAGAGTGTTCAGGTTAGGAAGCACAAATTTGTTCTTGAGCAGATTTTTAGCGAACTTTGCAAATTCCCCCATCTTCCACAGTGCCATCACTTAAATAAAGAGGCTGATGCGCAATTATTTCCTACCAGATTAGAAACCTGTGATATAAATCATGTACACATTAGGAAGTTCTGTTACAGCAGTAAAAAGCTCAAGTTCAGAGTTGGCTGCAAAATCCAGTGCTTTGTGGATATAAAGTGAGATCCAATTTAAGGAAAGTCCAAAAGAGAAAAATATTGTGTCTTCTGTTTATCGTTCATTGCAAAGTCTCCTTATGTTCCACAAATTAGGAGGTTGCACTCTCAGAGCTTAATTTGGCCCCTACTCTCCCTTCCCTGCCAATTACAATCCTCAAAAAATAGCAATACAGTTTCCTGTCATTTTGAAGAATGAAGGCTGTTTTGTGATCTCCCCAAAGGCTGAACATTTTTAAAATAATAAAAAAACACAGAGACACACAAACACTCTTCCCTAATATGCAGAAACAAAACCTATAAATTCACTTATAAGCCTGCTATAGCCTAATGAACAAGATGTTATATTGTTTTCATAATTTCCTGTCAAAGCCAGCATTGCTTTCCTTTACTAATTCTGTTGTTGAAGTGTTGTTGAATTCTGTTGTTGAAGTGTTGAAGTGAACACTTCAACAACAGAATAATCAGAGAAGCCATAGAAATAGAAAAACGCCCACACAGCATGAATAAAAGAGATGACACCTCCCGCTTATCAGCCATTTGGAAACCCGCCCTCATGAACAGACGAGTACCTAACATGATGAATGACACCAGACCCACACCCACGAGGGCCACACGAAATGCCACCACCACACTTCCACGTAAAAAGCGGACTCACACCCACACAGAAGATGAGACACGACCACAGACCAGAAGCCGCACTGCAGCTGCATCACTACCCACTTCAAACCCCTCTGAGCCATACATGAAGCGAACTGACCCCCACCATGAAGATGCAGCACGACCACGAACTCGAAGCCAAACAGCAAGATCACAGCTCACCAGCTCAAATCCCCCAGTAACTAAGACCAACCTGAGCACAACCAAGCCCCCACCTGAACAGAACACACCTCCAGCCAATCAGAACATGGCCAACCCCC